GAGGTTTCCTGGAGGCAGGATCGCCATTTCGGACAGAGGTAGAGGTAAGAGCCAGTGGCTGGCTGCTTTGCTTTTCTGACCTTCAAGTTGAACTCCAATTTCTGTCTCTGGGTTTTTATTAAACGTACTACGATGCCCTTCCCGACCTTTTCAAAATGTCCATCTCCTGGTCTTGAGGTCATGGTCCCTTTCTCATCCTTTTTCCTGGATCCACCTTATCTTTGTGCCAGCTCTTATCATTCTCATGAGGGAAGCTTCAGCACTCACATACATAGCCCTTCTCTTTCTCTGGTCTCTTCCAGGCCCATTGGTAATAATTGCAGAGATAGTTACCATGGAGGCTCATCTGTATGGCTAAAGGTTTGGATGTTAAATATCCGGTCAACAAACTGTTAAATAACACAGGTTTCCTTTTCTTCCCTTGATCAATATTTTTATGATAAAATAAAAATATGTGTAAAATATATGGTAAGGTATATGGCTGCTGTGGAACAATCCTTTTATACACTATGAATATGTACTACTCTCATTGGTTAATAAAAACCTGTCAGGCTGATTAGCTGGGCAGGAAGTTAAGTAGGAAAGCCAAGCAGAATGATGGGGAAAAGGAGGGCAGAGTCAGGAGAGATGCCAGGGACCCAAAGGACAGGTAAAGCCACGAGCCACGTGACAATACGTAGATTAATAGAAATGAGTTAACTTAAATGTAAGCGTTAGCTAGTGACAAGCCTGAGCTATTGCCTGAACATTTATAATTTATATTTAATCTCTGAGTTGGTTATTGGGACTGGGTGATCAGGACAGGTAATGTCCATTTACATATGACTGCCTGTAACTTATAGAGCACATCTGAATGTCTTTTGATAGGCCAGGTAAATAAGTAAAAGTCATATGTAATATATTTATGTTACAAGAGTTAATTTTCTTGCCCTAAGTGAATTGATAATTATTTTGAGATCAAGACATGCACTAACTGGTGTTTAATTTAGAGTAATGACACATTAGGTATCTTATCTAGGGATGCTGGTTCTTTGGATGATTTTCACTAGTTCCAAAAAAGAGTAACAATTTTTCTGACATCAGAACAAATGGAATTGTGATTAAATTGTTAAAGCAAATGCGTAGATCAGAAATGAACCATGGGTTTAACGTAAATTTCCTTTTTTAAAAGGCAGTACAAACATTTTTAACTTATCCTAATTTATAGTTTTTAATGTTTTTTGTTATTCATTAAGTTTTGAAACATTTTTCTGCCTATAAAATATAATAAGTGTTTTGTGGGGGGGTCCTTGTAAATGTCATGGCAGGCAGGAAAATGAACCACGAACAGGTAAGAATGAAAACTAGGTTCAGCCTAATTTAGTAGGTCTGGATCAAACTTATAGTGAATCATGATTAATAAAAAACAGAGATAGATATTAGGGTTCAACCTGAAGACCAGAAAAGCAATGCAGCCAGCCATGACTTTTGTTTGTTTAAAAGATTTATTATGTATACAGTGTTTTGCCTGCATGTGTCCCTACAGGCCAGAAGAGGGCACCAGATCTCATTCTGGATGGTTGTGAGCCACCATGTCCTTGCTGGGAATTGAATTCAGAACCTCTGGAAGAATAGCCAGTGCTCTTAACCTCTGAGCCATCTGACAGCCGTTCAGAACATCCTGCTTCACAGAAAAGTCTGTTGGATATGCTAGACCTGTAAACCAAAGATGAATGCCCCAACGTTGCAGAGAAACTTTGGGCAACTGTCCAGGCAGCCACCTGTTTCTGTCATTACTCACTTTTTTTAGAAGTCACTTGCTTGTACTTCCTGCTTACTAAGTTAATATTATTTCCTTCTTGGGTATCTGAGGGAGTTGAAGACTAGATAGTTATAGTTTTCTTTGTTTGTCTGATGCAGAAAGCAAGTTATAATAGAAAGTAAATTAGGTACAAGACTGAACTCATCAAGGTAGGAAAGATATGGAGTATTTTCTCTCAATTTGTCAAATACAAATGGACTAGACATTGCTGATATATTTATTGCCTGTATATATTGTATATAGTTATTGTGTTTATTGTATATAGTTTTTCTTATATTAGTTATAGCCTTATCTTTTATTTTAGACAAAAAGGGGGAATGTAGTGGCAAGTCATTTGTATTTTTAAAAATAAAGCTTGCCTGAAGATCAGAAAAGTAAAACAGCTACACTTGCCAGCCTCACAGGTCAGGCAGCAATGACGACACACACCTTTAATCTCAGTAGCCACACTAGTTTGCCATAGAAACCTGTCAGGGTCCAGTGCTAGCCCAGACCATAAATTATTTCTCTCAACCAGACTCCAACATAAACTATCTCTCTCGGACCAGCGTGAAGGTGTGGGAATAAAAACACAATTCACGTGGCTTCATCGGGAGGGAGATTCTCCGAGATCCCTCATGAAATCCCAAGTTCACGTCCTGAAGAATTCCTCTGTTTATTCTCCAAACAGTCTTTATACCAAAACTTAACCGACGGGAAATACATTAGCATTCTGTCTCCCAGGTAACCAGGGGAATGGCTTTTAGTTAAGTCCACAACTACCTGTGTGCTCTGTGTGCTACCTGTCACATAGGCTGAATTAGCATTTCTATCAGGCATCCTCCAAGTTACAGAGAAAGGAGCAAAACAGCATCCTGACCCTTTGTCGGGGCAGTGACAGCCTGTGGCCATCCTCAGATACTGACTATGGCTTTAGAGCCTGGTTGCCCTACTAAATGGAAATATGGGCCTACAGAAACCAGATGGTAGTGGTGCACGCCCTTAATCCCAAAACTAGAGAGGATTATAAAATGGGAGGAGACAACTCTCAGTCACAGTCTCATTCTGAGATTCCTGGAGGCAGGATCGCCATTTCAGACTGAGGCAGAGGTAAAAGCCAGTGGCTAAATTGTTTTGCTTTTTTGACCTTCAGGTTCAACACCTGTCTCTGAGATTTTATTAATCGTGCTTCACTTATTGTCTGAGGACAGGAAGTTTATTGTAAACATATTTAAACACAGAATTTGGAAGAAAGGTTTCCAGGCAATCACCCCATTTCCAGGTGCACAATAAAACTTAAGGCATGACTGCAGAGAAACTCCTTTGCAAAGGAAGATGGATTCCGTAGCTTAAGGTCTAAGATCTGTTGTGGTCAGCAGTCTATAAAGTACATGTGACATCCCCCCTAAGGACGGGCACTATTAACTGGGAACTAAAATAAAGGTCTAGGGAGGGAAAGTTTGGGATCACCAGGTTGTTAACAGTATTCCACTCCCGGCTTTCTGTGCGGAATGTCGGTATTTTATTCCCTCCCTAGAGGAGACAGCCCTGTGTGATTAACATTCCTGGTTTCCCTAGTTCTCTGTGGGCACAAGGACCTCTGTGCTCCCAACAGTGCTTGTTGTAGAGGAAACAGAAAAAATTAAAAGATACATAGAAGATTGAAGCATCCATAGTCCTTTCCCCCTCAAGATAAACTTCTATGGATGTTTTAAATTAGTTTTCTCTTTAAGTATATAAACTTACACGTATATTTTGCAGGTACACACAGAGGTTAACATCTGGAACTATGGAAGGGTATATAATTATTAATCTGGGCCCACTGTTGGATCAATGTTCCCGATATTGTTATATTTGTCTCGTCATACTGAACAAACCGGCAGCGGTTTTACATTAATAACTACTAAAGCATGATATACTTTAAACTTCTAAGAGTCAACCAGTTATTACTGGCCCATTCGATTTTCCTTTAACGTTTCTTACGCATGACTACCTATAAACCATGTCAATGATTTCTTTGGCCCAGCCTGTTTTTAGGTTTTTCCATAATGATGTTTAATCAGTGAAAGCATTTATTTTGAGTATCTTAAAATACACATGGAGAGTTCAGTATTTACTAGTGTGCTGGGGAAACCTCCTTGAACAGGGCCTTACTAGGAACGTTTACTATGTTTGTACCGTTCTCGTCAGTTCTAAAGATTTTCTAGTATTCTGACTTTCAGATCCACGAGTTAATCAAGGGAATAACAGGGACTTGCTATTGTTCAGTTAATGGTTTCTAACTGCACAGTGGGCAGAGAATGTGGTTGCCGTGATGTCAGTCCTCAGACACGCAGAGACATTGCTTCGGGACCCAGTATATTTATCTTTAGTAAATGTTTCACATATTCTTGGAAGGAATGTATATTGTGCAATTCTTGAAGCAGTATTCTGTATGTCTCAGTTTTGTGCGCCAAGGGCTAAGAAACGCACATACCAGCAGCCGACCCGGATCATTTAGAGTCTGTACCCAGGGCCTGCTGCGACCCTGTACTTCTGTCTCCAAGCAAAAGCTGAGACTGGGAGGCCAAGATCTAGGTGGCAAAAAGCACGTGTCGGTGGTGGTGAGGGAACCCCACTATAAAAGATTAGGCAGCACAGATCGTGATGGGACACACGGGAGGCTGAGGAAGAATGAATGCCAGTTGTTGGAGGCCAGATTGGGCTACAGAGTGGGACTTTTTTTTTTTTCTTTAAAAAACAAAAAGGCTGAGCCGGGCGATGGTGGCACACACCTTTAATCCCAGCACTCGGGAGGCAGAGGCAGGCGGATCTCTGTGAGTTCGAGACCAGCCTGGTCTACAAGAGCTAGTTCCAGGACAGGCTCCAAAAGCCATAGAGAAACCCTGAAACCCAGTCTCGAAAAACCAAAAAAAA